AAAACTCTTACAATAAAAAAAATATGTAGTAGGGGAGGTCGCAAGAAATTACAAGCAATTTGATTTATGGGTAAATTGAGCAAATTCCTCGTGACCCGCTTCCCTAGCAATAAAAAACCAAAAAATATTAACATTTCCATATGCATCGAGTGATGCCAATAAAAACGTGCCTACTTTTCAGCAGATCCGAAAGTCCTAGACTAAAAATGTAAAACCTACAGTACAAGAATTGGGAAAAAACAGAATAAACATGTCAAAAAAGGGGATACGTACTATATAGTAAGTGCACAGATGTAATTCGCATCACAAAGTATGAAAAAAATTGAAAGTGACTAATCCTGTATCCCCTAAAACTAACATCAAATAGAACGATTTTCTTTATTTTTATTATAAGTACGTTTTCATACTTTGTGACTTCTCTTTTTTTTTAATTTCAACTAGACATGTAGCACATAATTTGATACAGTACAGGATCGGCACCGCAACAATGCCCAGGGCCGACCACCAAAAAAGAAAAAAAAATATATTACAAAAATTTACAATTATATTAATTTATAAATATATTTATTAATTAATTAATTAAAACTTGTCTTGTAAATCAAATAACGATTAAGTTATTCACTTTAGTGGACCCGGCCACAAAGCAAAAAAGTTCGAGGTGTTGAAAAATGTAGACAATGAGCCGGGATGAAACAATGGAAAGCTGAAAATGCAATTCTTGGTTTCTTCACTTTGAAGTCATCATGGTGACGAACTCTGCAACAAAACGTAATCAATCATCAAAATCAAATGGTTTTTGGTTACAATTTAACATTCATATTTTTTTTACGTGATTAAAAGTGATTTTCGTCTACCCAATGTCAAACATTTTTGATTGTCACATTTACTTTGTAATGTTTTACCTTTTACTGAAATAGTTCTTATTGTTTATTGGGAAATTTTCAGTTTTTTTTTTTTTTTAGAAAATTAATATTTAGGTATTAATATATATGTGGCAACGTTGCTCAATATTTAGCGACAGTCGGGCATTAGAAAGGAGTCATTTCTAGGAACATGATCAGCTTGTTCTATTGCAGTAATAGTAATGATGGGAAACGGTTCCAATTTAAAAACCTTTTGAGGTTACTTTTGGCATTACTTATGGCCACCTATTGCGTTTGATAACAATGTAAACAAAACTTGTGGTTAGAGTAGGTAAAACTGGTTAAATGAAATGAAAAATAATGTACAACTTTTTAATTAAATAATAATGTAGAATCTTTTGTATAATTGAGAGCAGAATTAAACTTCTTCATTAATGGAGTCTAATGTGGCTATTATAAACCTAATAATAATTTTATATTACACTTCACACAGAAAGTATGGTCTATGTATAATAAGAGGGTTATTTAGCTCAAATAAAATATAAAAACATAAAAAGTTGTTCCATGTAGAGAATTTCAAATGAAAAATAAAAAAATTGAACTTGCCAACAAAAATGAAAATCAGTCATTATCATACAAAATATCATAATCGTCATCATCATCACTGTCACCACAATTAATTGTTATTATGATTGGACTTATTTCGTTTATTTTATTTTCACGAGTCCACCAATCTTCTATTAGTTTCTCGCACTTGGATATACAGTTCCGCCACACTTCTGGAGCTGCAATTGAAAGTGCTTTTCGCCAAGTTTCCCGAACTGCATCGTCACTATAACCATTAGGCCCAATATGGTTGTCATATTGTTTTGCTATTCCCCATATATATTCGATGGGATTAAACTGGCAATGATACGGTGGCAGACGTAAAACTTGATGACCGTAACTTTCAATAATCTGATTCACAACAAAGGTTTTTGGTTTTGCATGTATATTTGCCAAGCGTAATAATTCTGATTTGAATATATATTGAGGAAATGGCATATGTTCCTTTGTCAACCATTCTTTAATTTTATCAACAGTCCAAGAATTCGTTGGACTTTTGTTTAATACTTCAGAATGGTAAGGTGCATTGTCTAAAATAATTACGCTGGGCTCACTTAAACCTGGGAGAAGTTTTTCATGCAACCATTTCACAAACATTTCTGTGTTCATATCATCGTGATAGTCACTGGATTTTGATTTGGATAAAAATATTAAATCAGCACCTTCTATAAAACCCGATTTCTCTCCTGCATGTAAAATTATGTGTAGCTTCCCTTATCCATCGGTATGTTTGATAGACTTTACGTTATCATCTTGCCATATTCTCTTGGTTGCACACCTAGAAAATATCCATGTTTCGTCTAAATATATAAAATTCGCCCCTTCTTCTTTTAATTTATATTTTCTTAGAAAGTTAATTCTCTTGTGCACGACAGAACTTCTTTCTGTTATCCTCCTTTTGAAATTTGAAACCCAAGTTATGTATCACTTGCCATAGACTTGTTCTGCCAATGTCGTCAAATTTTATATCTATTAATTCCGAGATAATTGTATTTAAGGTCACATGTTCCTTGTTGGCCCTCATTCGATAAATGGTATCACGAATTTCAAATTTCTTTCCATCTGGAATATCTTCCGTTTTCAAAGATGGGCGAGTTTTGCGGTGATCTTCTTTCGGCAGTTCACTATTGTGATTTTGTAATACTCCTCTTAATTTGGTTTCACAAATTCCTAGAGCATCGCATACGCGTTGTTGTGCAGACATTACCGATTTTAAAGGACAGCCATTTTCTTTTTAACCGACTTCAAAAAAGGAGGAGGTTATCAATTCGTCGCGATATTTTTTTTTTTTTATGTTCAGCGATTATTCTTTAACACGGTGTCCGATTTCAATGATTCTTTTTTTGTTAGAAAGGGGGTATTTCAGGGGTGGTCCCATATAAATTTAGTCAAAATCTAATAATTGGGTCCATGAGAAAATCCTCAAACTCTTCATTTTTTATGTATGTTCAGCGATATTTTTTTAATACGGTGTCCGATTTCAATAATTCTTTTTTTGTTAGAAAGGGGCTACTTTAGTGGTGGTCCCATATAAATTTGGTCAAAATCTAATAATTGGAATAATGAGAAAATCGTCAAACTCTTTATTTTTTATGTATGTTTAGAGATAATGTTTTACCACCTTGTCCGATTTATACGATTTTTTTTGTTAGTAAGGGGGTACCTCAGGGGTGGTCCCATATGAATTTGGCTAAGATGTGGTGATGGCATCTGCCCGTTTTTGAAGTCGGTTTTTTTGAATTTTTAATTCGTAATACTTGTTCATCCGTAAAATACTTATGTACACTACAAATTAGACTATCTACATCTAACACACGTCTAGGCATTTTTAAAATTTCCACTAAATTTACAATATACATACAATGTCAACACTTGCAAAGAATCAATTCAACTGCAATATTTGTAACAAATTTAGTACCTACCCTAATGTTATTTTAATTTAAATCTGACCATTAGGGCAATTTGACCTAATTTCTTGGGGAGAGGCTTATTGGAACTGGTTGTCAATGACTAATTTGCATAATTTTGTTAATCCGAAACCCGCGTAAGTATAGCGAACAGACTGTACTGAGTACGTGCTATAATAGGACATTCTTAGAAGATACTAAAAGGCATATACCTCATATCCTAAGAACGTTCTAAATGCTTACAGGTAAAAATTACCACCAAATACAAAACATGTTTATATACATATCTATATGAATTTTTCCCAGGTGCCGATCTGATAATTGGCTAGTAAACGCACTAATGTTGAGTGTTCAGGCCAAAAATAATTTGCAACCTTAATAGAAGCGAAGAAAGACATAACCAACACATACTTTTGAAGTACTTTCTCAGTATCTGCATAGCACGTATAAACAACGTCACGTGTACATATACTTAGTATATTCTGAGAATGTACTAAATGCAAATAAAGCATTTGCATATTCTTAAAAAGTATACATTAAGAATATGCTAAGAATGTATAATTGTTATCTGGGATTATATCGTACTGAACCGGACTTAACAAGTTTTGCATGAATGCTCCACAAATATAATGACAAAAAAGTGCTCTGTACCAAATTGTTTAAATTCAATGGACACTTATATTTGTGTCCAGAGACCTGATTGAGGGAAAATTGCGGTTTCAGAAAGTAGGGTTGTAGAAGGATCAAAAAATACTTTGTGTAGATCATAAGCACGAAATAACTAACAACAGCTAACAGTACGACGTTCGAGAGTGATCTGAACTATTCTTAAATATCCTTTCTTTTCTCTTAAATGAGAAAAAAAAAAAGGATAGAAGCAAATTAACCTTAGAGCGTTGCCACATATCGAAGTAACAACAAAATATTTTGAAAGTTTATATATCTTTCTCTCAATTTTAATATTATTTTTAAGAAACAAAAATTTGTTATCTTTTATATATTTTCATTTTATATGAAAATTCCCCATTTAAACGCTAAATAATAAGATTGCACAATATTGATCGACTTATTTTCCGCAAATATTTTTCAATTATAGGAAAAGTTTGCTCATTTTAATACATACAGCCAAAGCTTTCGAAAAACGATTTCAAGATCTGCAAGTGACAACCAAAAACATTTCCAGTGTATTCAATGTCTTAACTAAATATCCCCTTCTTAATTTATGGAGAAAATTGAAAATGTCAATAAATTTTATATTAAATTGATTCGGCAAAGAATAAAATGAAAGTGTTTTAATTAAAAACATTTTTATTTAAAAAATGTGCTAAACTAAGTGAAACCATTAAATGTGTGTTTTTGTTACTAAACTCTAAGCTAAATATTATCTTAAGACTTAAAATAAAATATTGAATTTAAAGAAAAAATTGCGTAATTAACATAAAGGCTGGATGAAATGAATATTTGACGTTTATTATTATTATTAATAATAATTTATATACAAAATGTACACTATCTAATTAACAACCTTTATGCATGTTTATTAACACCCAACAAATTAAAATGATAAATAGAAAATTGTCGAAATTTAATCAATACAAAACAAGGATGAAAATAAAACGACTTATTGCTGTTAAACATTTTAATGAAAACAATAACAATGTCAACTACAAAGAATTAAAATATTTAAGTTATAACAATTTGATCTACTTTAAATGCCACTGTTACTCACTACTTTATAAATGTTATTTCTTTTTTATACAACATATAATCACTTGGCTAACAGATGTGTCCTGATAAACTCTAAAAATAAAAAAAATATGTATAAATAATTAGAAAATTGATGACGGGATAAAAAAAAATATTTATTTCATGTTCGTTTACCTCCACCTAACGGTAGCTGAAGAGTGACAACTGGACACTTGAAAGAAAGCACAGTCAAGAAGCTTGGGTATGATATTTCGACAATTTTCGGTTATCTTTCAGATAGTGAAATTAATTTCTAGATCTAAAGAAAACGAAAAACATTCACAATAAATATTGTTAGCTCATTCAACGTATTAAAAACACATAATGACATCACTAACACAGATAGGTCTTGCAAATTTTAGTATTGTAAATACATTTATAGGCAATCATTTTTTTTACTGATCTTAAAAAAAACTTCATTTAAAACATTAAATCTTTTATATACCGTATGCAAATTTTTTTTAGATTGGACATTGTAATTAATTGTAAATGGAAATTTTGTAATGGTCTCGTCAAAGTCCTAAGAGTGAACCTCAAAAATGTTTCTAAAGTAGTTAATTACCGACAATATCCGTGATAACTTTGCACGGCTCTGAATTAAATCCAAACTGACACTTAAAAAGAAGAATTGAAAGATCCGACATACGTGAATTATTTGATGGCCTACTTTATAAACATTTTTTGAGGATTATTCCTCATAATTAAATCAACAGAACTTTTCTCTTGAGATAACATAATAATTTTTGCACATGAGCGCATTTACCAATTAATAGTTGACACAACAAAAAGTACATGAGTCAAAGATGAAACATGATTCATGTTTTCTTGATACGTGATCTGCTCGTTATTTTTTATGTTTGTATAACGGATTATACATGCAGGACAGGATGAAGTGACATTATATTCAATACTTTAGAAATGTGCTTTTTTGATTTCGTAAAATGAATTATAACATCCAAAGCAGTCGAAAGAGAGTAAGTAATCAAGTCAAAATAATAATAAAAAAATCATTTAAAACTAAATTCGAAATAAATAATGAAATGACTGAAAAGTATTTGCTAATCTAATCGTAAAATTGTTTCAAAAAATTGTAATCTAAAAAATCTCTAACGCAAAATTTCATGGAAACTATTACTTGAATTGACAAATTGATAATAATATATTAATGATGACAAATTGATTTGAAACATAAATATTCTGTTTTCAGATTGATTAGTTTTTAATATTTCAAATAATTACTGTATGGAGACTTGTATTATTTTAATAATAACTAAGGTAAAAATGACATTCTATCACAAATACTTTTTTTTGTTAGAAAAAGCGATATTTAGTGAAATCAGTAGAATCACGCGACCTTGTAATTATATTTGGCGATTTAATGTAGTAACTTGGTACACTGCGCAGCTTTCCGAGTGCCTTTTAAAAGGAGATAGAAAACTCCGCCATTTTGATGCCTTATTACGTGTTGCCTACATCTTGCCGCAATATTTTTAATATTTTGCTTGCTGCTGTCAGTGTCACAGAATATTATTTTTGGAGTCACAGTTTATTGCTAAAGAATCAGTTAGCTCACTCGGACCAGTTGAAAGTTCCAAAATAACATCCACTCCAGGGATACAAATTCAGGATGCGCAAAAGACTGCTGTTTTATTATAGGCGGTTGTCATATTTTGTATTATCCGAGTTGCGCAGTGTATAAACTGGAACATTGAGATCAAAAGTGCCGACGCAGAGTGAGCGAACTGATTCTTTAGCTATAAACTGTGGTAAATGCATCAAAATGGCCGCGCCCTATGTTGGGCGTGTCGCACCTCTCTCTTGCACCGTATAGTAATCAAAGTATGTGTGACAAATGGAAACTGACAGTTTAGACATGGCACCCATGTGGCCTGCTGTCATTGACAGGGTCAATGATACATATATGACTGTATAGATTGCTCAGAGGGTCGTTTTGCAAGCGGCCATATTGCCTCGCAAGTGCTCATTAATCAGAATCAATTTAGCAAAAATGTGTTTTGAAACCAATTTTCAGCCTTTGAATATAGTAAAAAAATAATTACCTACATTTTTTACTTCAACGCATGATAAATCTATATAATTGTCTACATCATTGACCCTATTACAAAATCCACAAGGTTGCCATGTCATGACATCATAACCTGTCAAAGCCCACTGACAGCCATTTTGTTTGGAATGTCTAATGTTAGCTGACATTGGGCCTGTTGACATTGACAGGGCCAATGATACATATATTTATATAGGTTACACAAAGCGGGTCGTTCGCGAGTGGTCATATTGTCTGGCAAGTGCTCATTAAATCAGTTTAGCAAAATGTTTTTTTAACTCCAATTCATAAGCTTATGTTTATTTTTTAAAACATGGATGATCAATCTATATAAATATCTATATCATTGGCCCTGTCGAATCACCAGGCTCACAGTGTTGCCATATAATAACCTATAATGTCTGTCAGTGGTCTGTCATTATCTATGGGCAACAATTTTGTTTGGAATGCCTAATAAGGAACAACCATCGAGATAGAACGAAGTAGAGACGATTTAAACACTATTTTTCGATATGACAGATGGGCGCACTTAGCGATGCCTGACTGAGTGTAATCAAAATGGCGACGAGTCGTACTTTGGTTTATTTGAAGATTGACTAAATGAAGCTATTTAAAAAAATGACACTTTTATGCTGAGTTCGGGTGTCAAACTGGGAATAGACTTAGAGCATTGTATTTAATTTTTATCTGAAACTAGCTACTTTGATAAAAAGAAATATTCTCTTTAATATTATATCGTTTTTTGCATAACAGCAGCATTGTGAACCAAATTGTAAAGCAAAATAAAATTTTACCTGCAAATTCACAACATGGAGAAAAAGAGAAATATTGACAAATCGCAAAACAACGAACGGTATTGATTACTGCGCAAGATTGCTCCTGTGCCACACCTCTCCGAAGTGTTTCAGGATAATTTACTCCATGTACTCTGCTCCGTACTTAACAAAATTAACGTGGGTTTTTAACTAGTGTAATTTGAACTCAGCAGAGTGACTCGGCGTATTCGGGAACAGCCCGAACTCAGCATTAGTATTGTGATAGCATCTCCTCTTTATTTAAAATTAAACAATAGAGTATGCGTATAGCACAGGGCTAACGTAAAAAATAATAAAGTTGTGCATGTTGTTCTCATATTGTATACGAATTAACGAAGATACCATTCTTCATATGCCCCATTTGCAATAAGTACGGATCTTAATTTCCGAGATTTTTTAGACCATATAATATATACGCCACATTAAAAAAGGACATAACCACATAAACAAAAATGTACGAATTTATTCATGCCACTAAGCACATTCCCAAAGCATGACTACAAACTGACCAGCTCGAAGCATGTGACGGGTACCGATTGAAAACAATGAGCGAAAGAGCTCGGAAATCTGCAAAGGAACACTACCAGTCACACAGGTTGCACTGTTTATATATACTTTATGAGGTCTGTATATATTTATTAGGGATATACAACTAACGCTCTGTACATGTCATATCGCAAATCTAGTAGAATAGTACCCAAGGTTAAAAAACGATTTAACATCAGTTATAAAGGTTTAGAATTTGCTAAAACAGTGTCATTTTTAATCTGACGTTGTTTCTGGGTGCTCTGGTGAGACTAGACGAACAAAATAATTAGCATTTAACTTATATACATAAAATATAATAAAACAAAAATGTAATGCAATTTAATTGAGTTCTGTTCAGCAAATTTCATGTCATTTCAGAGGAGTCACTGCCGTATTTGTTGTGTCCACTGAACTACGGTCACTCTGGTTTTAAATGTTATGTTTTGTTTAAATTTTGATTGGCTAGTAATCAACCTTAAGATATTTGTGTCCCGTCCATTTAATTCAGTGACGTCACAAGCGAAATAGCAGACTTTTCAAATTGTGGAAAGTAGAATTTTTGTATTCTTTGTAAAACCGAGATAATAATAATAATAATAATAATAATAATAATAATAAAAAAATAGGTTCAATGTTATGGTTTCGTTATTTTTAGTTGAATTCCTAACTGGATAGCTTTACTCTAAAAGCAACCAAGAACCATTTTCATATTTTGAGAAAAGTTAGGTTAAAGTTAGCAACTCATATGGGATCATAGACCCAGTGTAGATAGAGGTAACGTCATAGAAATTTTCACATACATAAAATGTAAATATTTACATTAGGACTAGTTAGTAGTTACAATTTACCGAAAACAGTGTTGTCAAAATTAAGATGTATATACATATGAGACTATCTTGGTACTCATAACTTCAATATTTATTTTTTCTCGTATTATAATTACTTTGCTATTATATGAGTAGCCTTTTTTAAATAAACAATAGGCCAATTATATAGGATAGCGAAATAATCTGGTAACAAAGTATTTTCTTTGAAACAAATGAATGTATAATTATGAAATTGTAGGGTGCATTCTTTAGAGTACAATATGTCAAATTTATGTGGTTTTTTTTAAATGACAACGTAGTTCGAGTGATATATCAGAGAAAAGCTTTTTATTCCTCTTTTCAAGCATACTAAACAAGTACCACATTATTAATGCAATACAGTATCACTGATCAACCTAAAATACGTTTTTCGCTACCCTGTATGTATAGGATCGAAAAAAAAAAAAAAAAAAACAATAATAATGTAATATAGTCTAATTCATCACCCTCCAATTTCATAGTACATTCATTCGTTTATATACCTAGTCCTTGTCAAAACAAACAACCTAAAACTCAACATGTTTGATACATCAGCTTAACATTGAATAATGCCTAAGTCTGCCTGTTTCTCTCATGCTCTCTCTATCAATCCTAGCTGTGTATTAGACAGTCAGAGTGCTGTGTATTAGACAGACAGTCAGAGAGTGCTGTGTATTAAACAGTCAAAGAGTGACAGATTTAGGTGCCCCATTTTTGAAAAGGATTGAAAAGTACATCGATTTTAAGTAGAATGAAAGACAATTTACAAGTGGCTCCTGGCGATTATGTATGGAAAATTAA